ATGCACCTCACGATGTGCCGTGTATGCACCTCACGATGTGCCGTGCATGCACCTCACGATGTGCCGTGTATGCACCTCACGATGTGCCGTGTATGCACCTCACGATGTGCCGTGCATGCACCTCACGATGTGCCGTGTATGCACCTCACGATGTGCCCCCTCCCTCAGATCTCGGAATATTACGTGGTGAGCTGCACGTCGTCCCTCACCTTCTCCATCTCAGGCGTTGCTAAGGAGATCGCCACCCTCACCCTCGCCGTGTACTATTACCACGAGCACCTCTCCCTCATAAATAAGGTTAGTAATTAGTAAGATTAGTCTTTAAATATCTTAACCCTAGCCGTGTACTATTACCATGAGCACCTCTCTTTAGTCAATAACATTGGGCTTCGTAATTTCAGACGGATAACTTTTTTGTGAGCTGACATCCTTTATAACGGATATATCCGTTATTAATGAATGCCTTCAATGAACGTCATATACGTTAGGAATACCCTTCCCCATAACAAATATATCCGTTATACATTACTATATCCTTTGATTCCCTTACGACTGATATCTGTTATTACTGCAGTTTTTGTACTAACACGATATCTTATCTTACAAAAAAACTTAAAAGCAAAGAAAACTCCACAAAAATTCATAGTATCTTTAAAGAAAACGTTTCGGAGTCCAGCTCCATCGTCAGTTCGGAAATTCCATATGAATTTTTGTGGAGTTTTCTTTGCTTTTAAGTTTTTAGTGAATTTGCGATTAAAGCAAACAAGTGACATTATTACTTATCTTACAAAATGTTGTGATTTATTTATAAATGATATTTGCAGTAACACGTTATCTTATCTCCCGATGTCTTTTTGATTAATATATTTCAATTATTTATTTGTTTTATAAATTATTAACGGTGTATATTATTAATTTCTAGCTGAGATTTGTTGTCACTGCAGTCTTTGTAGCAATAAGATATATTTAATAGATTTGTAACTGATATTTATTCCTGCAGGCCGGGCTGTTGCTGTGTGTGCTGGGCATCGCCCTACACGTTTTCTTCAAGGCCCGGCAGCTGAGGCTGGAGACCGCGTCCCTGAAGGGTCCGACATCGCCCCCAGGGACCGGGGACGCTTTTGTGTTCCCAGCGGAGGTGGCCCAGCCGCTGCTCAAAGATTCCTTCGACCAGTCAGACGAGGAGATGGAGATGTTCTCCAGATAGTATATGCTTTATGCCATTACATGTGAAGTATATTTTATACAAGTTTTTATGTTAGCACAGTAACTGGTAATAGGCCTTTGGTTATATTGTATATATGCAACTCGTGTTTTTTGGGGCTGCAATTAGTAGTTGATGTGTCTAGGATTGGAACAATATCAGTTCGATACGCTTAGAAGTGAATGGTTTTACTCGCATAATCTCTGTTGTACTATTCGTGTTTAGGAATAATTACATTACGGTACACTAAAAGTGAAGCTTTTATTTGGGTCTGATAACCTGACTGTTCTGAGGCTGACCTTTCTTGTTGGCACAAAAGTATTTATAAAACAAATGAATACTACCTCCTAACCACCTGTAAGGCCAAAATATCATCTATTGAAGTATTTACGTAGTAAATAATATTAAAATTAAAGTGCCACTTCCGACGCTCATTCGCGACTAGCTAATCGAGTGAACAATGTTGATGGTGCTTATTATGAAATTCAGCTCAAGCATTCGAGACTTCAATATTTTTTTAAACTAATGATGTTTTTTCTAGTGCTGCTTTACCTCTTCTTCTCTAAACGTTGCATTCCCATGGATGAACCATGTACGAATTTATTTCTAGCTACCGTAAGAATTAACATTTTTCCATATTAATGCTGAATTTTCGAGCTCGTTGGCTATACTTCGAGAAAGATCTTGTCACCTAACTATACTGATGATTAATAAGTAGTAGTAATAGGATTTAGTAATGGATTATTATTGTTTATAACAAGAATTATGAATTATTGCTTGATCGTTTAGTCAGCAATATTTATCTCGCTATGTGTTTAAGTTTTTTTCTATATCGAATATATTGTAAACATTGACGTATTTACTTATTGGCACTGAGAAGAGAAAATTTATAAATCCTTAGGGTTATAAATGGTGCTAAAACTGTTTATGCGGATTGTGATATGTTTTATTTTGTAATGAAATGAACTTGATGTTGTTTTTATGACAGGCTAAATCTTAACTAATTTCTCTTATAAACTTGTTTTTTTCTATGTTCTTGTACATGCCGAATGTTCTCGATAGGTTTCTCGATACCAGAACACAATACATTCCCGAGAGCTTCAGGAGAAATTCGTGCCTCTTAGGAATAAGGGGAATAATAAGGACCCCTCTTAGAAATAAGGGAAATAACGAGGGACCCTCTTAGAAATAAGGGGAATAATGAGGGACCCTCTTACATATAAATGCAAATAGTTGGGCTTCTTAGAAATAAGGGGAATAATAAGGACCCTCTTGGAAAAAAGGGGAATAACGAGGGACCCTCTTAGAAATAAGGGGATTATGGGGGACCCTCTTACATATAAATGCAAATAGTTGGGCTTCTTAGAAATAAGGGGAATAATAAGGACCCCTCTTAGAAATAAGGGGAATAACGAGGTACCCTCTTAGAAATAAGGGGAATAACGAGGGAGACTCTTAGAAATACGGGGAATAGTTGCGGTGTGACTAGTTTTATCGCCGTCGCTCGGTGGTCCTCAAGCTGTGGGGTTCATTACCTCCCCTCCCTCGTGTTGGTTATTCAGCAATGTTTTGTGAGTAACGAAAAAATTGCAAAAAAATAGTTACGTAGTTCTCAATAAAATGAAATATGTATTAATATTTGCAAATAAATATGTTAATATTGGCACGATGACATTCGTAAAATGTCAGAAAGTTTGGAACCATCGCCTTGGTTTCTGAAGTCAGTCAACCGAAATCAGCAGGTCGGCCGTATGTCCATGTGGAATTTTGATTATTTCTACTCAGTGAGAATGCATTGTTATTATAAACACAATATAATTAATTTATTAGTGTCATTAGTCTTGAACCCAGTTCATTTATGTATCTCAGCCTTGTCTGTTTTGTTTGTGTGCTTAAGTCTTTAGAGCATTTGCTTACGTGTACATTATCCTGGATAATTTTAATGCTTTAGTTACACTGAAATTTAATCTCAGATGGAATTCTTCATTTCATTCATAATTTTATATTTTTATTTGTTGTTTTATATTTTTATTATGACATTCCTCAGTCTCGACTGTTGCCCAGGCATGTGCTGTGTTTGCCTCCTATAGATTCTGCTTTGAATTTCGTATTGTGAGAACTCACTTGATTTTAACCTACTTTTTGTACATATTTATTTGTTTAATGCTATTCGTACCTAAAGCTCTGGTAACTAGTTATCACAACTAAACGAACTGTGGGTATATACATCAAATGCCGTTAATGCTATTCGAACCTAAACCCTGATGCCGAGCTATCTCTAGTAGGCAAAAGTTCCCCTTTAGGATATTATATCAGTATCCTCCATATTAGTAGAATTTTTTACATGCTCGTTAATTTCTCTATCGCGTATCGGCATTCAGTTTAGTTGAGGTCTTATTTTCTTATCACTACTCGATGGTGAGTTAATCTCCGGTAATTAACTTAAATAGCGTATAAAAATATGAATATGAACAAATATTCCTGCAGTCAGAGACAAAAATATACGTTGTTTTGATGAACATTTTCAGTTGTCGCCACCATTAGAATTTTATTGCTTATATCCTGCTGCCAGGTATAACCGTGACGATGAGGTAGCTTCTGGTATCGAGACAAAACGATAAAGCTTTCTAAGTTCTGCATGTTTTTATGTATAAATTGATTTTTATATATTATATACGGGGTCATTAATAATATAATGTGAAAAATTTCATTTTCACGGTGCTTGTGATGTATGTTAGTCGAGATATTTTCAGCAATGAGTGGGACGCTGTCCAAAAACAATGTTCTTATAGTCCTTGTGTGTGTCATCCTGACTCAGGTTGGCTCTGATAAAGAACGCACTCTGTATCTATCACACTATTCTGATAAAGAACGCACTAAGGTGTTTTCTTCGCTTTCAAATTTCTAGTGAATCTGCGATTAAATCAATCTAGTGACTATTTTACTTGTGTACGCACTATCAGTGCTATACGGAGAAAGTCTTACTATTAGCACAATAATATGACCCAGTACAGTAATTGTGTTCATGGGCTTCAAGTGTCGACTTGAAAACAGCTTTTTGAATCAGATAGCTTTTTTTTATTCGAATTCTTAGTTTAGATTTTATCGTTGTGACTGAGAATCGGATCCTGGAGCAACGTGTTCATTCTCTTGTTAATTCATCTTTCATGAATTCTTGTAAGTTTTAACTTGTGCGCATATTTTCTTTACTTTCTACGCTCCAAAGCGACAGATAAGATTACAAAACTGTTGATATATTCGCTGAATTTACTAATTATTATTTTAGATTGAAGAGGAATTAGGATTAGGAATTTAGGAATCACTAATTAGGAATCAACAAACTACAAATTAGGGAATCACTCACAATGAACTTATGATATAATAACTGAAATTTTATGAGATGGAAGTATTTTCCTCACTTGAACGATGGCTGTTGAACTCTTTAAATGCAGCTCGAGATCATTCCTCCTGGCGAGCTGTAAGTCTCAACGCCGCGACAGGCCAAATTTGACCAAACAAACGCTGACGGCAATAATAATTTTAAATATATTACTTATGAATTACTCGTTAGTGAAACAGAAAGTCATACGTGAACGGAAACTCTTCAAAAGCGGAAATTTGTTTTTCATTTAATGGCTTAAGTTTCCGTTTAGTTCGGGTTGTCTAAGGTGCCAATTTATTTCGATGTTTTGGTAATGATTCCACGTACGCGAATTGGAAAAGTTTTTGAATTATTTTCCTATTCTCTCATTGATAAGAATCTTTGTGCTTTAGGTGTCCCCATTTGATGGCTTGCAGCGTGTGCTCTGTAATTGGTAGATACTTAGCCAGGTTTTTTTTTTAATTTGTACGTTTATATAAATTTTCTATAAACACTAATGGTGATTTTATGTATATTTTTACCTTTTCCATTTTAAGGAATAGTTTTGATGGAACTTTTAGTCCGTTTGATGCCTATTCGTTCATTTGATGTTGCAGTCGTGATTAAGAAATTTGTTTTTCGTTGAACTGTAGTTACTAAATGAGAAAAAAATTCATCTTACAATTTTGCTTGAAATTTGCCACTGAAAAATAAATATCCTTTGATAATACTTGATAATATTGAGGAATTTTTTAGAGGTCGCCGTCTTCTTGAAAGCGTCCTGCAAAAAAAGTAAAAACTCTTTGCCCTCGGCCGCTTTTTTCGCTCAATTGACAGGCCGCCGGTGGCAGGCTTTTGAACTATGAATAAAAGATATGATAGTCTTCCAATCGCAGGCCGAATATGCGCCGTTTATCTCCTAAAATATGGTCGCCATTTGCAATTCTAAAGCGAGGCCCCGTCGAGATATTAAGAACCGCAACGTGGATGCCTCAGTGCAGGTCCAGTGGCTCTGGAATATTCGTGCTTAGTGAGGAGGTTAAACAAAACTTTCGGATGAATATTTGTGGTCAATAATAAAGGTTATACCTGAATACTCGGATCGGATGAACTCCTTACGTAAGGGCAAGTCCAACGGCTTAAATGGAAATTCGTATTCAGAAAGAGGGTTAAAACTACGGCCAACGTCTTGGATGAGTATGCGTGGTGAGTAAGTAAGGTTAAACCCAACGGCCAACGTATTTGATGCGAATTCGGTTTCGTACCGGTCCGACACTTCAGCGAACTCGCGTGCGAACTGGCCTGCGAACTCAAATGCAAAACCTAACTTCATTTTCAACTCTGGCACTCATAAATCCTTCAATAATGAACGGATTTTATTCAAATTTGAAATATAAGTAGATAATATCAGTAATTTGCGGACGAAATGTTTTCAGATTTTTACATCAATAACTTTTTTGTTAATACGGAAAACCTAACTTCATTTACAACTCTGGCACTCATAAATCCGTCAATAATGAACGGATTTTATTCAAATTTGAAATATAAGTAGATAATATCAGTAATTTGTGGACGGATTTATTTCAGATTTTTACGTCAATTACTTATTTTTAATGACACAAAATACTGAAACTTGACCTGACTAGGACCTAACCTGCGAGGTGAACGTGAAGTTAGGCTTTCCGTGATAATAAAAAAGTAAAGAATGTAAAAATTTGAAAAAATTCCGTCCGCAAATTACTGATATTATCTACTTATATTTCAAATTTGAATAAAATCCGTTCATTATTGAAGGATTTATGAGTGCCAGAGTAGGATTAGGGTGTTTGATTCAAATGTCATTAGGATATGGGTGTTTGATTCAAATGTCATTAGGATTAGGGTGTTTGATTCAAATGTCATTAGGATTAGGGTGTTTGATTCAAATGTCATTAGGATTATGGTGTTTGATTCAAATGTCATTAGGATTATGGTGTTTGATTCAAAGGTCATCAGGATTATAGTGT